GAAATGCTGAATCTATTAAAACATAAAAAAAACTCTTTAAAAAAACTCAGAATAATAGTTTTATCTAACGTATTTTTCGTGTTTAACTTGGAATTGTAAAACATTTTTCAAAACAATCATTTCACTTAAAGTACTAGTAAAAGTAATACATTTTGTGTTTTATTGACATGACATATCGTTATATATACATGCATGGAATGCCAAAATTATATATATTCAAATATTTGAACCTATCTTCAAATAACTGTACCTATCTTAAAACAGTTAGTATTGAACCCATCTTCAATTGAATTTAAGATAAGTCTAATTGAATATATGTCTAAATGAATTAAAGATAGGTGTAAATAATTAAAGCTATCTCTGAATAATTAATCCCTAGTTTCAAATAAATTATACTTATCTTCAATTCAATTGAAGATAGGTTAATCGAATTATTTACAGTTAAAGAAATACCTAGTCAATCTAACTAGTCTGCCTCGGAAATCGTCCGTCGTTATCAGTGATTATTCTAAGTACTGGCTAAGAAAGTGGGTAGTATGTGTCTCATTGAAGGAGATCGTATTGTTACCAGAAAACATAGTGAAAGTTACTCTTAAATTCTATATTTACTAATATTATTTAGTAAATTTACCAAGTACCAAGTAAAACCACTTTTGAGGTAGTGATTGTATTGACAGTAAATTTATTATATTCATCGTGACTTTAATGTAATTTATTCAGTTTATATTTATCTTTTAAAGAAAGGTACAATTAAATTTAGATACAATTGATTTGATGATAGGCACAGCTGAAAAAAATTCACATAAGAATTCAAGATACTAGGTACAGTTCAATTGTACAAAAGTATAATAAGTTTTCTGTCCTTGAAAATAAGGAAATTCCCCCATGACAGTAATTTAAACACAGAGAGAACTGTGCAAAGTATTTTTGTTGGGAGTAGTTATATTGTCATTATCTTAATAATTAAAGACAGATTCAAATTTTTTTTAAAATCAACTTTACCTCTCTTTAAGTGAATTAAAGATAGGTATATGTAAAGTAAACCTATATTTAAAATATCTACGATAAGGTATAATTGATTCAAAGATAGCTTTAGGTACAGTTGATTTGAAATTAGGTACTATCAAATGAAGATAGGTATAAATATTTGAATTGATGTTAATTTGATGTTCCATATAAATAAATATGAATCTAAGAACTCTTTTCCAGTCCTTTTCAATCTTCGATTCATTACATTGGTTTATAGACATTTTTTTTTCAAAAATGATGAAAATGAATTTTAAAACATAGAGGTAAATAAGTTTTGCCACCTGAAAGTTTTACTTTAAATTAGAATTGTCAGTAGTGTTTTATTACAAGTCTTCAAAAATTTAAAGATTTGTAAATTAACTGCCCCGGTGAACTTCTTGCGATATTTTTAAGTAAACAGTACAGGCATTAGAAACAAATAAATATCAGCAAAATATTCAACGTGAGTTGAACTTGATATCAACAGGAAAAACTTATTCTTCTCACGTGATAGTTAGTAGTTGAGGAGGATTTGATTGAGAAGATCGGAAGTTCTCAACGCAAATAATCTTGGGGGCGAATCATTGTGTTGATGCAAAGCTTCAGTCCATATTTCTTTAACATGAGAAAAATATCTAAAATGTTTAGGCTTACATAACAGTTTTAAATATTTTTTTTCTACTTCCGAAATAATCTGTGACAGTGTTCTATCTTGTCAAAAAAGACGATGCATTCCTTAAAATCAACAAAAGAGACACTGTATTAAACCTGGTGATTAACGCATATCAATAATCAAAGGAGTGTGGGTCGAGTTGGCACCGTTCGAAAGATAAGATAATATTTGAACTTTAAGCTCGTATAGAGGGAAGGATACAGCAAAGAAAAAAATGACAACTTATTTTGATATAACGGTGACAAGTTATAAAAAAAAAACCCATCTCATATTCCAAACGCGAAATAATATTAATTGTGCGTTTGTGCATATTGGGGGAGGAGGAATTTATTTCAAAAACAAAAATTTACAGATAAAATTTTCAGTAGTAACAAGCAGAGCAAACATGGACATCAAAAACATCAGAGGTGGGATTAGATGCCCTGGGGAGTGAGTATCCCCTGCCGACCGGTCACACCAGCCGTGTGCTCCTTTTTATGATGGGAAAATAACGGAAAAATCTGTCACCAATACTTGATATCGCGATTACTTAACTTAGCGGAACTCTTTGGCAAAGGAGGTAGAAATCGTCTGTTGGGTGGGGGCAATGTGCTATTCAATACAATGCAAGATCGGTCATTGTAGCATTTATAAGGACAGATAAGTCAAAAATCGTGGTGGAATACATCGCTACACAATCGCTGAACCAGCCTAATATATTTTTGAGAGGAACCAATCCTAAATTATCACATTTTTAACGATATCTTTAATTAAGCTGACTCTTCTCGTTAAATTTTCATTGAAAATCGTCACATTTTTAAGCAGATAAAATATTCTAAACTTTCCTTATTTGACATCTACTATTTGGAGTTCAATATCTGGCAAAACATCATGATTTCGGCATTAAATTGTTCGAATCATTCGATTGTCACTACTGTAAACAATGTCATTTGCCCAGAAATTTAGACTTTTCTCACTCCCCCGCAAATGAGCGGTAGTAAGTTAGATAACTGCGAGGTACTCATTGGTAGTCGCGATATTACGTATTCAGGGAATAATTAATGGACTAACAATTTGTATGTAAAACGTTGGTCAGCATTTCATTATATGATTAACTATCCAAATATAAAATATATAAAAATATCAAATCTCATGGTACTTGGAAAAAGTTTTAAGCTATCCCTGAAAGATAGTCATTTGAGGAAATCAAAGCTTTACATGTTCACATAAAGTAAAAAGATCTTTTCAGAAATCACTGGGAAAAGTATTGGAATCTTACTTGGAAGTTTCATAAGAATGTGTGGAATCAAATTGTTTTTCATAAAACATTACTCCTACCATTTTATACAATTTAATGAGAAAGAATAATTTAACAAAGATTCATAATAAATTAATAATTTATGTTTATCCTCTTTGATTTTTTGAAAAGTGTTGCTATATTTACTTCAATAGATACAAATGATCCTCGTTTTCACATAGATAGGGCAAATATTAAAGTTTTAGACAGCTGCTGATTTGAGAAACCTTGATATTATATCTAACCACAATTTGTCACCAAGATAAAAACGAAAATTCTGAAATATTATTGCACATCTACAGGATATTATCAACCATCTCCGAAAAGATAAATATACTACTGTGTAAAAAGAAGAGGATTTATGGGAGCCATGGGATATTTGGACAAAAAGAAATATCATTTTTTGATCCCTGGGATAAAATTGAAAATTCTGAGATATTATTGCACATCTACAGGGCACTGCCAACCATGTCCAACAGATGATTAGTCCACTGTGTAAAATGAAAGATGAGTTCAGACAACCAGGGGCTTTTTGCATAAAAAAATTATTTTTTCGACCCCCATTTGACCCCTAGGATGAAAATGAAAATTCCAAAACATTATTGCATTTTACAGGACTCCAACATCTATCTCCAAAAAGATGAATAGACTGCTGTGTAAAAAAAATCACAATACATGTATTGACATGTCCAGCAGCACTTTTCTTATAGGGTGAAAAGGATTGTATATGATTGTATATGTTGTTTTACATTCTTTTTGGAATCTTTCATTTACTATTTGCCGGTTTAGAGCTACAAATCTTGTCCTTTACTCTGCACTTAGGGCCATTGAGCAGTGAGGGATCTTTTTCGTGCCAGCACCTAAAGGAACACGGGACCTCGGTTCAAATGGTCTCATCCAAAATACCGGTCTCCATGTCGCACAGTTTGATTCGAACCCGCAACGTAAATGTTTTATTCATATAGTGGGATGAGGTGCCTAAGAGAAGTAAACATCACTTGCTCTGTTGACCACTAACAACAATAGTTCTGATGTTATTAATTACTTAACCTATGAGAATCTATCAGTGTGTAGTTAGCGTAGTACTCCAGGGCATCAAAATTAATGGGAAACGTGGGTAATTTGCATAAAGGGCAAAGTCCGTCATGCAAAAATGTGCATAAATTTATTATGCAAACTATGCATTAATTTGCATAACGGGTGAAAGCATGCTCCGTGAAGCAAGTTTTATCAAAATAAAAAAGCTGTATATTTTTTAATAATCACCGGAGAGCAAAAATTTCTTGTATATTTATTGGAAAAAAGGTAAAGATTTTATCGGGAAAGTTTGACCGGTTTCGTGGAAATAGCGCGCTCACAATTGAACTTGTCCGCGAACTTTTCCAACACCCTAAGTCATATTTATCAGGAAATACGAAGGTAACAAACAATAATCAAACTATCAAGTCCATCGAAACGATACAAATATGGAACAAAACAAACATTAACATCTGAAAATTTGGAAGGTCGGATGAGTTGCCATACAGGTTAGTTGTAAGTTTGCCCTTATCGTCTACAATCAGTAAAACATTTAAATATGAAACAGATAAGTCAAACTCTATGTTGTCTTTTATTTTGATTTCACTAGGATATATCGAATCGACATGTGATTCTTCTAATCATTTTTTAATAAAGATAAAATTTATTTGCACTATATAATCAAAATTATCGAAAAAGAAATATGATTTATATTTCATGATATCCAATTATTGAAACATTATAGTGAATGACTGATGCATTATACAACATTAAGAGAAAGTTTGCAACATAGATTATAATTATAGAATACAATGGGGCATTATATAACCTATTATGCATATTTCTGACAAACTATACATTCGTCTGTGGGTGTATTCAATAAGGTTTAGCACAATTCATTTTGAAATTATAATGTTATAATTTATATCTTCAGTTAGTCTCAGTTTAATTATTTCATCACTTTTATAAATAGTTTTTTCTATTAATGAATCGGTATAAATACATATTATCTACATAAGATCCAACCCATAAAAGGTGGTTTGTGTTATCATAGGCCAGGCACCATGGCATCTTGATGTCTGGAAATCTGAACAGTCGTAATAGAAAATGGCCGTCTTTGTCAATCACTTGTATGGAGCCTGTGTCGCCACAACACACCAGGATGTTTGATAGTACGTCTGTACAAATCCCACATGGTAAAATTTGTAGTCCTCCTGTAGGGGGTCCGATGTAGGAGAATCGATATCCTCCTTCACTGTCTGTTACAACCAAAGCACCACTGTGTGAAGTTCTAAAATCTGACACAATAACATCCCCATGCCTGCTAATCTCTGTTATGTATACAGGACAATTATAAAGTGTCTGGCCATCGCCTTTGTATTGGATAGTTTGGGGCAGTGATCCTTTATTGTTGTACCGGGTTACTTTTGCTTCTATATGATAGTCTTTACCTATATCATATTTACCAGAACCTACCACTAAATCTCCATTTAACAGGGAACTGTAGATACAATGTGGTTTCCATGGATCTGATCTCTTTACTAGTGTTGACTCTGTTGTGTTGTCTAGTGAAAGTTTGCAGATGTTACCATTTTGATTCATGTAAATGAGTTCTTTTTCTCTGGTCACTGTGTGTACACCAGCACCATTATTTGTAACTGCCAGCTGATGCAGTATGTCACCATTTGCACTGGTCAAGATTAAGCTATTTTTATCACTTACCCAGATTTTGTTTGGTAATCCAAGGGAAATATGACGATACTCTGTGATACCTGTCACAACTAAAGATTTGTGAAACTCAGGTCTGATCATTTTCAGGAGAGAATCGTTTCTTACTTGCCTTCTCCCTATCCTTTTCTGTTTTATTTTCCCCATTAAACAAATCACCTCTTCCTTAATTTCATTCATTTTAGGAATTTGAAACTTCTTTAGCCATAAAAGGGAATACTACTGGTCTATTTGCGGACTGTTCAAATTGATCTTCATATCTCATCATGTTTTCAATATGCTTTTTTCGATGTTGGAATTTCGATGAGATTAATTGAGACATTAATTCAGTAAATTCCTTTCGCATTTCTTTATCGATAAATTCCTTCAGTCTCTGACTTTTTCTTGTCATCTGCAACCTGATTTTGGATGTTTCCCTTTGAATCATTTTAATTTCTGTTTTCACGTCAGATTTAATATCCGCTAAGATAGCCATACTATAAGAAAGTATCTTACCTCGGAAGGGGATTAATCCTGTCATTGCTCTCTTCTCTGCACATCATGCAACATGATTCTATATTCTGTGTTTCATGTTGCTGGTGTTCATTACAATTACACTTGACACAGATAGGATTTTCACAAGACAGACACCAGCGGTCATATTTTCTGCCTTTGTGTCTTTTACACGCTTCTGATATCATAACTCCATTCTTTAACTGACGTATTACTACATCATGATAAATAGTGTCCAGATCTATTACATGTTTCTCCTTACAAGGAACACAAAGGTATCTTTTACATGTGTTGCAGTAGAATTCTATCTTCCAGTGAAATGGATCACAAATTGGTAGCTTTGATATTGGTATATTATGTATATTCACAATGCTCATTTTGTTTCAGGCTTTATGTTTGGAGATAACAAACACTGATCATGCCTAAAAGTCCACTTACACAATACAAATTATGAGCAGAGCGAACATTGATCTTTAAATCAGAAGTGGCACCAGCTTACATCATCGGAGAAACGGAAAATTCTGATGAAAAATGAAGATCTGATGTAACATATGGAGATAATGAACAGCATTCAAAATCAGAACCAATACAAAATAGTACCAGAGCAAACACGGAACTCCAAATCATCAGAAGTGGGATCAGGTGCCATGGAGAAGTGAGCCTCCCCTGCTGACCGATTACAACCTCAGTGTGCTCCCTGTCGTTATTGGGGAATAACGGACAAATTCGTCGTCAATTCCATTTATAAATCGGTGGAGTAGTTAGTTTGAAAAACGTCGGTCAGCAGTAATTAACTCAATATTTGCTGACAAGGTCATTGTATCGACCACGGAGCTTACGAAATGATAACTTTAAATGAGAAATTCTTATCTCATCAACTTGTTTGTAAATTATTTACCTCGTTCGAGAAATTGTTCATACGTAGAGCATGCTATTGCGTATCGAATAAACTGAGATATATAAACTTCGTATTAACATGCAAGACATCAGTCAGCATTTGGTTACACCGTGAATTAGTAAAATTGCGCTGGTATCTGAAAATAGAAAAATAAGAATCTCAGGACATTGAAAAAATAAGCTATTTCTGAGAATCTATGTCCCCCGCTTAAGATAAAAATAGCATGTGCGGATCATGCGAATCTTGGGGGTGGAGAGGGAGCGGAGGGGGAAGAATGGCGGGTTGGGCCATAGGGGGTTTTTAAATAAAATTTAATTGCAAAAATCAAAAGCTTCTTGAAATTTGTCTGAAAATGAAAGTTTTAGACGGATACAGAATGTATGAAATTACAACTTTGACATTTAACCTTTTGACTTCAAATTCTCCATTAGGAAGTTGTGGTTTAAAATTTCACTGCAAATACTCAAAGGCTTCTCGAGATATCGCCTGGAAATGAAAGTTTAAGATACACATACAATGTCTGAATTTACGTCATTGATCTTCGACCTTTTGATCTGGAAATTAATAGGTTTTCCTTAGTTCATTTTGATTTGTGTTTAATTGTATTGCAAAAAACCTTAAGCTTCTAGAGATGTCACGCTTAAACGAAAGTGTGACAGTCCGGCAGAAGTACAGCTAGACAGACAGTCAGACCAAAGTCAGTATCTCCCACTTTCACTAGGCCTTCATCAATGAAGGGGGGGGGAGAAACAGGAAAGTTCACAATAAGTGAGTCTACATATAGCATGCGATACATCCATACACTAATTTAAAAACATGCCTGATTGCAAAAAATGTTGAAATGTAACTCGACGAACGTTTAGAAGTGACATTATTTTCATTTAGTAATTTTCTGTGAGTAAATAAAAATACAAACCTTGAACATAAAACTTCACTTTTGTAATTCTGCCTTAAAGTCCACTGTTGTGTTATTCAGTTGAGAGATGAAATCTTTTCTCATTGCAACATAGGACAATTTTGATGATTTTTAAAGATTCCTAACTTCACCATCTTTGATGATGTCATAATTGTCCTGTCATGCATTTCCTTAAATGTCCGAGGATCAACTAATAAATGATACCAAACAATCCAAAACTTCACACTGGTGAAATTTTCAAAAGGAAACTGGCTAAATTCTTTTCTTATAAACTAGGTCATACAGAAGGGTGTTTGAAAACAGGTTATCCCCCCCCCCAAAAAAAAAGCCAAAATACATGTTCATGATCAAATAATTTGAAAACATTTGCGCCATTTTTTCCTATCTTTCTATGTCAACAAGTAGTTCTGTTTTTATTGATCGTAAAGGAAAAAAAATGTTTTCTTTTCTCTACCAGTAAATCAATATCATACAAGTTGCATACTTTACCTATAATCACACATGAAAAAGAAAACTTTCAAAATCCAGATAAACAGTAGAAACCAAAGAAAATATCAACAATTAAACTGTTATACAACAACGTAAGGACCGTTCCATTGAGCCCATGCTTCTTCCGAGTCCATTACAGATCCTGATAATATACATGTGTAATGTAATTTGGGAGGGCAGTTATTCAAGAAGGTTCTACAGAAGAAAAAATCCCGGTTTTAATATCAGCTTAAATATCTTCATATTTTGTCATTCTGTTCCTGAACACTTTATTGTGGTGAATTATTTAGTCTCCCTTGACTTAATTTTATTTTGAATTTTAACTCTGCGGTATTTGAGCTTGAAGTTTCAGGTCAGAATTTCTGTTGTAAAATTGTAATTAACTAAAGGATGTAAAACCATTCGTTTTTCATATTTGCAATGGAAGAACTATTCATAAGCTTTGCAACTAATTCAAACAAAACTAGGGCTAATTGTAACGGGAACCGTTACAGATGTTCCCCAAACGCTTCCAACTCCTTTTGGTGCCATACTCCCTTTAAGCTTCATTAAAAATGACAAACTCTATGCATTTTACACTTTAACAACGTTTCCCTGAAGTATACCGAGTATATTAAAATTTTAGCATTTGCACGCGTGCACATGTAAATGCATGTGCGTAATGACCATATTTTCTTGTCTACACTATCTATATACATTAATATAATAAAATAATAAAGCATTTAATCGAAAAGTATTAAAAAATACGCTTCATCAAGTGTATTTTTGATTTTACCCATCTCACGTGCATGCACGTGCATGCATGTGCATGATGACCTTACCTTTTTGTAGGAATCCACTATGTCTATCTATGTTCTAAATCCCATCCTGTTTGGTTGAAAATCAAAGGAGTTATACCCATTTAAAGTTTAAGCCAATCAGATTGCAGCGCACGTGCATGCGCGTGTTTTCATGATACCTGCTATATATTATATTGTAGTATATCCTAATGCATGACTATGTTTAAAATTTCAAAGCATTTCGTCAAAAAACAAAAGAGATATTGAAATCTTTGTTTCAGCCAATCAGAGGGAAGCGCACGTGCATGCACGTGAGTTCGTGCTAATTTGACCATGTCATATTATCTAGACTATTAATATATCCTTATAGAATGAGTTTCAAAGCATTTCAATAAAAAATGTAAAAGTTATGGCTATAATAAGTATATCAGTCATTTCACTCATTTCACGCGCACGCACGTGCATGCGTATGCGCGCAAAATGACCTTCGTTGTGCACACCTACACTTGACACCTATTAACCCTAAAAAGGTTTTAACTTAGTTGGGTGAACAGTTTCTGAGAACACTCGCGGACAAAAAAAGTACCGGAGAACAAAGAAGAAAAAAAAGAATAATAATAATAATAACTAGAGCCGAGCTCGTTGCAAAGCAACGAGTAGGTCTTCCGTCCTGTTTGACCGGAAGTAACTTTCATTTAAAAAAAAGAGTAATGAAGTCCCAAAATGGTTTAATCCTCCTAAATGTATGTTAATTAATGCAAAAATAAGCCATTTTTGAACTTCCGGTTTGACCGGAAGTGATCGACGGACGAAAAATTAATTTTTATGCTTCCAGACATATGAATCCAAAAATTGAAAAGAACAGCAAAAATATGCAATTTTTGACTACTTCCGGTTTGGCCGGAAGTGACGTCGTCGGACGTATTTTGATGACACCATTAGATAAAGCTTGATATTTTGAACAATTTTGCTTCTTTGATAAATTACAAATTCCCAATACTTTTTGAGATATAAAGGAAAAACTTTCGGCCCCTTTTGGTCCTTTATTATAGGGGCCAGCCCCTTATCGTTGATATATTTCGAAAGATCTGTGACATTTTCCTTCTTTTGTTCTATATGTTTTAACAAAATATTAACGTGTAAAAAGATATTGCCAAAAATGTGTGAAAATTTTTTGAATTCCCGATAGGTCTTTTTTGAGCCATAGCAAGTTTCGAGGTGCTGCACTTCCGGAGAATTAAGAACAGGTGTATGTCACATCAGCATGTTGCTCTATCTTCGCTGAAAATTTTTTCTATCTATATCATTTTTGAGAAAAATCTGGACAATGTGACCCTTAAAAATCATTAAATCGCGGAAATCTCGAAACCGGACGTGACGTCACAAAAATAAAAAAATATATATCAGGTTTGATTGATGTTCCATCAGTCCTGAAAGTTTCATGAAAATCGATAGAGCCGTTTCTGAGAAATCGCGTGCACAAAATCGGTAAGAAAAAAAACAATAATAAAAATAACTAGAGCAAAGCTCGTTGCAAAGCAACGAGTAGGTCTTCCGTCCGGTTTTGACCGGAAGTGCCGGAAGTGACAGAACAAAAGAAAGCAAT